TGAGATGACAACAGACTCTCCTGTCCCCATTCTTTTACTTGTATGCTGAACTCTTCTTCCCTACTCCCAATAGACCATGAGGGAGAAATGAGGTGTGTGTGGCCAGTCCTGCAAATAACCATCAACCCTTCCATGGGTAAATGATGATTGATAGAATTCATGGAGTCTGTTCTTACAAAATTTTAATTTTTATTGTTTAAACATTTAAAATATGCTATTTTACAAATAAAAGGAGCTTAAGAAATAGTCTCTTTGGAAAAGTTAATAACAAAGAAATGGGCAAAAAAAAGTTTCAGCTTTTGTTTTTTGAAGTATGGGCAAGAAATTAGCACTCAAGTTTTAATCACTGGGAAACTGACAACACAATATAAATAAGAAGGGCAGAGTCATCTCTGTTTAGGGCATTAGTTCTTAATCTTTTGGAACCCATATTTCCTGTTGATTATATGATTTAAAATGGTACTTCATTCTCAGAAAAACACCCATAGGCATATATTCATAAAAATTTGTATAAAAATTCAAGGTAGTCTTGACTTTCTGAAGAGTAGTCATGGCTTTTGTGTGTTCCTCTGATTATAAAACTCTGACACAAAAATTACAGGACTGAGAACATGGTATTGAGATCTTACAAGTACCAGACATGTCAAAAATACTACACAGGGAAGTTCAGAAGCTGAAATCCTTGGACCCTTTATAAATAAATTGGAATCAGATTCACTAATATGCAGTCATAGGATTTAGTTATCATTCTCTATTAAAGTTTAAGTTAATTTCATTTGATGTAAAATTGTTATATGTCTTTTAAAGCAATATGATAAAAAAACAAGATTCTTGAAATGAAATTGTAAAGATTTTTGGGCTTATTCCAAGCCGTAAAAACTAGTAATTTAATCTCTCTGAGCTTCATATTTTTAGAAGAATTTTATGTCCTAAAATTCTGTATTTTAAAACAATTCATCTAAATCTAGTAAATTAAGACAACTTCTTTTCCTAAAACTTAGAAAAGCTTCAATTATTACCAGAGTAACATATTTTCAGGAAGTGAATGCAAGTTAGATGTGGTTGAATTGCTAAACGGCTGAATTTGCAAAAGTGGGTGATAATTAAATCGTTACGCTCAACTCTTATTAAGTATTAATAAATTCTCCATGACTTTGAATCAGAAGGGTTTTCTACATGAGAAGTTCTGAGCAGGCTTTCTGAATGATGAATCATCTCCCACTCTGAGGTGGTCTTCCCCAGCTCCAAGGTACTCATAGGCACTACCAGGAAATTTAACTGTGGTTGAATGTGTTGTTCTTGGCTTTTAATTTTAAAACAAGGGAATTTTCAATATTGATATCAGTATGCTTTAGCTTACAGAAGCAAAAGATTTTTCTGAGGAAAAAAGCTTGACATTATAAAAACAATGCACCCAGCCAAGGCTCCAGCCATCTGAATGCACTCACCATTTGTGTGGCTTTAAATCTGGTTGCACATATGCCAGAACCAAGGATCACAAATGCATCTGGGAAACAGAAGCTGGTCATCGTAGGCTCCTCCACCCCCTTTTGTTGTTTGTTGTTGTAACACATGTTAGGCACCAAAGAGACAAACAAGGATGAAATGGCTTCCTCGTTGCCCATCTGGTTCTCAGCCAGAGATACAAAGTCCAACCAAAGCATTGAATTTCAATGTCCTGAAGGTTGACGATGCTCACTTTCCTGTTCTCCATCCATCACACTTCTTCACAAATATTTTTTTCACCAATAAAAAATTATGTAATACAATAATCCAGGGTTATTTCTACATAACCCCTTCCCAATTCTCAGTAATTAATATTATACTGTGAGAATATATTTTGTGCCTTATTTCATAGGAATATAGTTTGACATAAAAGATATTTGTTCATAGTATTTTAACCTACTGAAATTTTAGTAAAATATACACTTTTTTTTTTTTTTGGTGTACAAATGAGTTCTGTTGTATGATTAGTTGCAAGTTCTGCTGTTTGGAACTCAAAATACATTTCTCACAGAAACAAAATTGGTGACTAGGACTCCAAGCCAGAAGGAAAATTGAAAGAAAAAGAGAGATAGAGGGTGAAACAAAGGTCTAAATGAACATACAACACATAATATTGCATGTCTTTTGCATGGAGACATTTCTGTCCATTCCAGATTAGAAACTGAGGATCCTTTTAGAAGCTGAGCAGCAGGGTGGTGGGCAAAGACTGCCTCCTTCCTGCATGCAAACAATGGGCAGTTAGAAGGGGATTATGGCACTATACTATGGAAGACAACAGGTTGCTATGTGACAACATTGTCACAGCTTCCATTTCAAGAAGGTGCTTCAGACCACAAGCTGAGGACAGGGTGGCCACTCCAGCTGCTCACGTATATAGAACAATAATAAATTATATGTTTTAAAGTCAGGGATTCACACAAACACACACACACACACACACACACACACACACACACACAAAACCCACCTACACCCTGGTCAATAAAGAGTTTTTTATTATTTATTTATTTATTTTTATTATTCATTTATTCACATGGGCGTACATTGTTTGGGTCATTTCTCCCCTCTGCCCCCCTCTCCTACCCTCTCTCCATACCCTGCTCACTTCCAGGCAGAACCTGTTCTGCCCTTATCTCTAATTTTGTTGAAGAGAAGACATAAGCATAATAAGGAAGACAAAGCATTTTTGATAGTTGAGTTAAGGATAGCTATACAGAGAGATTCCTGGCATTGCTTTCATGTACAAATGTGTTACAAACCAAGTTGATTTATCTTTAACTGACCTTTTTACTAGTTCCTGATCCCCTTCTCATATTGACCTCTGTCGCTTTAAGGTTTCTGTATTAGTTCCTCTGGAGAGGGGACATCAAGAGAAAAACCCAAATCAGTAAAATCAGAAATGCAAAAGGGTAGAGATAACAAACACCACAGAAATCCAGGAAATCATCAGAGACTACTTCGTGAACCTATATTCTAATGAATTTGAAAATCTTGAAGAAATGGACAGATTTCTAGAAACTTACAACCATCCAAAACTGAACCTAGAGGATATTGATCACCTGAATAGATCTATAACACAAAACAAAATTGAAGCAGCAATCAAGAGTCTCCCAAAAAAGAAAAGTCCAGGAACTGATGGATTCACTGCTGAATTCTATCAGACATTTAAAAAAGAATACCAACCCTCCTTAAACTGTTCCACGAAATAGAAAGGGAAGGAACACTGCCTAACTCCTTTTATGAAGCCAATATTGCTCTCATCCCAAAACCAAAGACACATTCAAGAAAGAGTTTTGATTTAGAGGTATGGTTCAGACTTTGTAAATCTACTAATATTTTCAGTTGGCTTGGATAAAATTGTGGAGTAAGAGAATGGACTTATGTATTTCCCATCCTTTTCTTATTTTCCACTTTCATTGCTTAAACATTTTGAAGCAAAATCTAGATCTTGTTTCATGTACATTTCAGTTATACAACTCTACAAAACAATTGGATTTTCTTACGTAATGACAATACTATTATAACTCTAAATAAAATGTATGCCTACAAAATATCTTATTTTTCGGTTTGGTTTGTTCAAATATGTATCCCAACAATGCCCGTATGTTTTAAGGCACATGGTTGTTATATGCCTTAAATATGCTATTATCTTAAGCAGGCTCATCTCCCTATTTTTTCCCTGTGCTATAGACATGTTACCAAACGCACATCCGCATCATGATTGTCAGTAGCTGTTCTTTTTCCCTTAAGTATTAAGCCTAATTTTTCTCATATGTTTAGTCAATGGAAGGCAACTCTAGAGTTGAGTCATATCTTAAAATGCACAATAATGTACTGGTTTTGCCATTAGTAGACTCTTACAACTCTGTTTCAATTGTGACTAAAGGAAATGAAAATATTCTGTTATCTGTCATGGTTGATGGAAAAACATGAATAACATAATTTAGATTAAAAGTTTTCCCAAAGTGCCCAATATTAACTGAAAAACATACTAAATGTCTTACACATGGTTTGCTGTACTTTTTTTTTTTTAATGAAACCTACCTGTTTCCTATTATCCTCAGAATTTTTGCACTCTAGAACAGAGTATTCATAAGTAAGAAGTGCTGAGAGGGATCATTAGAAAGTTAGGGATCAGATCTTGAAGTGACAATAATTGCAGCAAATGTCCTGTTAAATATGTAACTTTGAACTATTCTTTTGGAGGGAGTGGTGCATGGTGCATCTTCAAGTAAGATTATTTAGGATTCTATGTGAACAAGCAGTATTATCTAATGACAATAGGAGACTGATGTAATAGTAAGTTGTTTTTATATGAATAGTTATAGGGCCAAACCAGCTCCAGGAAGTGAATATAACACTGTGCTTTCCCTACTGTAGTCATATTCTGCTAACATAAAAAAGTCATAGTTGAAAGGCAAGAAACATAAATCAATATGAAACCTCAGGGAAGTGTACCTTGGCAGTAGTGCATGCAAACACAGTAACATTTGGAATCCTCGGAGCTACATTATTTTGTAATATTGTCATTATTTCCATTTTAAAGATAAGGAAATGAAGTTGTAAAAAACTTAAGTCAGCTGGGTTTTGTAGCACACACCTGTATTCCTAGCACTCAAAAAGCTGAGGCAGGAGGATTGTTAGTTCAAGGCCAGCATGGGCTACATAACAAGATCCTGTCTCAAAAATACAAATAAGTAAACAATCAGAAAAGGTTGGTATGTCTCCCAAGATGTCACAACAACAAATGTAGGATCTGGTACCAAACTGAGTAAGTTCAACTCTTGCCCCAGCTACGATACCACTTCTCAAGGTGGAGTCAGAGATTACTGTTCTCTTTTGATGAGCTCCAGACAGCAGAGAGACTTCCAACACTCTAACACCAACTTAGAAACTTGACACATCTTGTAACGTTTGTGAGTTTTAATGTATTTATATGTCAGGTATGCATTTAATGATAAATATGTGTATAAATATCCCTTTTATTTTAACAGGTTATCAGTAACCTGGGTCCTTTGGAACTCATCCTTAATACTCCTAGTCACCACAGGGTTCACCATGGTAATGAAGTTCAATTTCTTCTTTCTTTCCTTTTTCACCTCTGCAAAAAATTATTGCCAAATATACTTTCAGGGGCAAAATGTTCTCCCACCAAACAGAGAACCATCATTTAGAACATGGATGGCAGTGGAATATGCCTCTGTCTAACCAGTCTCATTCTGCTTTTGTCTATGCTTCAAATACACATATTTGCATGTATGGAAGGTACGTAAAGAAATGTGAAAACACGAGGCTGACTGAGTTTGTTGGGGTAGTGACTTGGTGGGGTGATATTCTTTTTCTTTAGAGTTACAATCATAATGATATGATTATGTCTATTTGAATTTATATATATCACACATTAAGGAAATGGTATCCCTCCACTTACATTAAGTTTAAATTGTACTTAGAGTATTTTGGAATAGGAAAAATACCATATTTAGTATGAACTAAAATGGTTAAGGGTAATGTTTTTTTATATTTTTTATGGTTTAAAGAACTAGTCAAATTTTCTTCCTCAAACAGCTGAAAAGAGTTTGTGATCTATCACATCAAAAATTTAATAATATGCATACATGTATTATTCCTTTGCTTTACTGTTTTTTTTTCATTTCTTCTATAGTCCTGAAAAATAATCTTAAAAAATTAATAAATTAGATCTATTCCAGTTTTTTAACAGAAAAATTATAAGAAAAATGTGCACATAATTTTAAAGAACCTTGTTGTTTTTAGAAAAATTAGGTAAAAAGTAAATAATATGAAACTATGACTAGTTAATAAAATCTGGTGTTGTTAATGACAAGATATTCCCAGGAAAATTGTTCTGCTACTTAAATTTTAATTTTATTAATATGCTCTAAAAACAAGAAAAGGTATTTCAAGAAACATAACTTCATTGCTTCCAATATTTTGTCTTACAGGCAGAAATCGTTATTGTATAGACAAAAATTATGCTGGCACTCTTATTATTTGGGATAGAATTTTTGGTAAGTAAAAAGTATGAAAAATCAAAAAATTAAATTAGATGCTTTATTCATAGGAAAATCAAAGAACCTATCTTAGTGTTTGTCTTCCAGGGACATTTGAAGCAGAGAATGAACAAGTTGCATATGGTCTTACACATCCTATTAATACATTTGAACCATTCAAGGTGCAGGTAATGCAATTGTTCTTTTTCTTTCTTAATTTATATCATTTCATAAATCTTATAGGTAAGAGAGAACTCAGTTGTTGAAAGATCCAAGTACATTATACTGCTATAAAAAGAATTTCCAATGTAAAAGCATTAGGAAATAACAGATATTCAATTAAAACTTGAATCAAAATGGGCAAAATGTATTTAGAAACAACTCATTGTAAGAATTTTCAAGTATTTCTACTATCTACAATTTAAAAAGTGGCTCTTTAACAAACATATTCTTTCTCAGAATAAACTAGAATATATTCATGTATTCAGAAGGAGTAGTGGAAAGATGTATAATTAAGGCTGACCCATAATAAGAAAAATATTTGTGCCAAGGGTGCAGCCTCTGGTTAGAAATTCAACATGAGGCTTTTGCCCTACTCTTCATGGACCTAAGTGTCAAGAACTATTTTGGACTGGTTAGGTCTCAGCATTAACTCACCTGCTATAGTTTGGTGGACTGGACCAGTTTTCTACTAGACATGTGGTATTGTTTGTTCATTGGCCTCAATGGTTGGCAGTAGAGAAATGAGGAATGTGTGTGAAGCTCTGATATGTCAACATCAGACCACCACAAAGACTCTTGGGGTTAGGAACTTATAAATGAGAAAAAGCTAAGATTGCTCAAAAAGCTGAAACAGTCAACAACAGCTATGTATAGGGGACTAAATGTTGCATTCAGGAAGCAATGAAATTACAGATTCACGTTGAGGCAACTTTTCAAACCCATTTCTTCAGTTTTCAAACAGTTGAAACAACAAAATAATGTACATATGTTGAGCCTCTATGATGTGCAGAGTACTGCAAACAGCACAAGGAATGTTTCCTGTCACTGTTACTAAACCCTTATGAAGTTGTGCCTGTTTTTATTTCCATTTTCTAGTGGAGTGTATTAGTCACACTTTTATCAGTGTGACCAAATACCTCAGAGAAACAACTTAAAAGGAGGAAGGATTTATTTGAGCTCAAGGTTTCAGAGGGTTCAGTCCATAGTTGCTTGGCACCCTGCACTTGGGTAGACTATCACAGAAGCAGTAATAAATAGAAGAGGAGGTCATGGCAGACAATAAGCAAGGAGGGAGGAAGGGATCAAACCAGGGATCAAATATAACCTTGAAAGGCACAACACCAGTGACCCACTTCCTCCAGGTAGATCCCACTCCCCTGTTTCCTATACTTCCTTAAATAGCTTCACATACTGGGGACCAAATAGTCAACATATAAGCCTGTAAGGGAGATTTCATATTCAAACCATAACATGGATAAGACTGAGGTTCTTGGGATTTAAGTAATTTACCCAGATTCACACCGCTTATTAGCTGCAAGTTTACCCAAGTGGGCCAACACCAAGATTCACATAACTCAATTTAACCTTTCCACTGTGCTGCCTCAACACATAAAAAGGTCATTTTAAAGTGAAAGTCATTTCCATCTGCTCTTTTATCAAAAGAGAAATGTTGACTATCTCTCTTTGTTCTTCTTAACTACATGGAACTTCTTTCTACATCTCTGTCTTGGTTAGACTGTATTAAGGAGGTGGTATGTCCTTCAGGACACTTATGACAAATGTTTTTAGGTGTTTTCTTAATAATAAGTTTCATAGAATTGAAACCAAAATGATACATGGAAAGCCATTTCATATAGAGTGTGTCTCAAAAGAAATTGACAATTTGGTCTCAGTCCTCTAGTAAAGAGCTTTCCAAACCTAGCATGCATGTCATTCATGGGAGCATTTCACTAAAATGCAGAGTTTTTTTCACCAGGTCTCAGGTTTGATTTAAGATTCCATGTTTCTGACAAGCACCTAGGTGACACCAATGCTGCTGACTGATGGATAATTCTTTGAGTAGCAAAGCATGGGGAATATACAACCTTGCTGAGGACAAGGGGTTCATATTTGAGACAGAATAAGAAAGTGGATTCTGTGCTCAGTGAGAGCTACACAAATAGTTGGGAGACTAGGATTTGGAGAGACCCAACAGTGAGAACAATTGCTGGTTCATGAACCATTGCTGAATCTGAATCTTAGTTTAATTCTCCTGATAGCTACCCTCACATAGTAACATTTCTTTTAATATAGTAATTGTCACAGCAGGTTTAGTCTTCTCCATGTTCCCTTATAGGGGACAGAAATGTCAAGTCAGAAAGTTATGATGCTTCAGAGTTCTTATGTTACAAGACAGTTATTTTCACTGGTATTCTACTATATAGAGCCAAATTTCTCACCTATCACTTAGGGATACCAAAAGCAATTTGGGATGGACTCATATTGGACAGAAGGTGATGGTTATTGTTACGATTAGACATAGATAATTCTCTTTGTTCTCGTTTGGGGTTGCAAACTTTCAGTGAATTGGAAACCAAACAAGGTGAGGGAAAAAATAACTCTTTATTTCAAAATGTTATCAGATATTTCTGGTAACTGATAGAAATAAAATTGCCGTTAGTTTTCAAAATAAAAAAGTTAAGTATTTTAATGTCTGTTGTAACTCCTAAATACATTTATTTTCTGTATTACTAATGCAAAGCCGCATGCTAAATTTCCATCTAACAAAATCTGTTCATTAAATCCTATGTCTCTTAATTACTTCAGATGTCTTATTGTAACATTTCAAGCAATTTTAAAAACTAATTTTATAAATGTAGCAATTTAAATTCATCCAGAGACAATGAAGATAACAGCAAGACCACAAATTCTGAGAACTCCCTCAGTCTGCAAACTTTCCCTTTTTTTTTGAAGTACTGAGGTTTGAACTCATGGCCTATACCTTGAGCTACTCCACCAGCCCCATTTTTGTAAAGACTTTTTCAAGATAAAGCCTCATGGAACTACTTTCCCTGGGTAGGCTTTGAACTGTTATCCTCCTGATCTCTGCCTCTTGAGTAGCTAGGATTACAAGCATGAGTCACCAGTGCCTGACTGCAAACTTCTTTTCTAATGACAGAATATGGGCTACTTAAAACTCAGAAATATATTGTTTGAAATGTCTTTGAATATTTTTGTTAATATGTTTGTCTATAACACAATAAATTCCAAAGGTTTTAAAAATATTTGAACAGACATGGAATCTGTGTGCTTCCATGCTTAAACTTAATATCCACTTACCAAGACAGTAGAAAAGGAATCATCAGGTAAGGAGGGTGAGCAGAGTGAGCACAAAGGCTGCCAGTTCATTACACTTGAAGCAAAACCCCACAACCTGTTTTATTTTTGTAACTTATTTCACTTTTGTTTCCCTACTTTTCTGATTTTCTAACAAATTGTCTTTTTTTATTTCAAAATTATAATTTTACCGAACTTCAGAAATATTAATAGAACACACAAAGTTACACAAATGAATAGAATGTATTGGAATATGGAATGTGATTGCATATTAGTCTTAAAGAATAATATATCTTAAAGAAAACAACATAAATTTTATTCAACAATACATAAAATGCATATTATATTTAATCTTTTGTGTTATATTTGCCTTATTTTAAACAAACTTTTTTTTTCCCCTAGTTCCACCATTTGTTTTACATATGGACTACATTCTGGGCCACACCTGGATTCTTTCATAAGCTTTCTGTCATATTTAAAGGGCCAGGATGGGGTCCAGGTAAACCAAGACTTGGACTAAGTGAAGAAATCCCAGAGGTAAACAGAGTTCATTAATTTGGAGATGGTGAAGATTGGTCTTATATTGTTAGGTCTACAGCCAGCCTGCATATATGCTACCTTTATGGAAATCTGCAAAAAGATGTTCCCTTAGTCAGATGAAGGTGCACAACTGTGGTGCACAATGTCATGAGTGGATACCACCTTAGGGCAGGTAAGAAGGATGTTGTCTGCCTGGAAGACTCTGTTTTTCTCTGGGAGCACAGTTTGGGAAGAAGAGAAACTGAGGCCAGTTATCAGAGCCACTCAAATCCAGAGCCAAGAGCCTCTGTGCAGGGTATGACTTCACAAATCAATGTGCCTTACATGTAGAGTCCCAGAACAGCAGAGATGGAGAGCCTTGGAATCATTCAGTCTATGCTTGGTTTGGCTCATGAAAAACTGTGGTCTCACAGACAGAAGATCTAAAGTGACACTAAGACAATGTGGTTATTTGTCAGGCTATAACTGAATTCACTTCAGAGTAGAAGCATTAAAAGCAGAAATCACACTTAAAGCCAAGAAAAGATTTAAAATACTGGAAGCCGGATGAAAATTTCAATTTCAATCTGACATTCTCCTCTAGAAAAGAAAATGGAATTTCTTTTTAACCATTCAGAATATGTGATTCTTTACCAACTATTCTATTAATGAATAGAAATACAGAAATAACAGGAAAAGTAAACTATTGTTCATTTCAAAGATGATGCTATAAGTATAAAAGTTAGCTATCATACTTTAAAGAAATAAAATCATAGGCTTTATTTGAATATTACTATTTTACAAAAATCCTAAATTTCCCATACTTTTTCTGTGTCCACAATTAGCTATATAATAGTCAGTCAAATTGACAGGTGAAAATAATTTGCTTATTTCAGCTTTAGAAAGCCTAGGAGCAATGATTCACTTATTTTCCTTTGTAATAGATCATTCAAAGTGAGTAAGTTATAAGAGTGCTGGCAATGACATTTTTAAAATAGAAGCATAGCTGGGCTTTAGTGACTCATGCCTATAATCCCAACTACTCAGGAGGAGGATAGAGTTTCAAAATCAACCTTGGCAAATAGTTTGTGAAACCCTATCTCAAAAATACCAATGTGAAAAAGGTTGGCAAAGTGGCTCAAGAGGTAGATTGTATGCTTAGCAAGTGTGAGGCCTGAGTTCAAACTCCAGTATCACTAAAAAAAAAAGGAAGAAGTATAGACCTGGTGGAGTGACTCAAGTGGTAGAGGAACTGTCTAGCAAGCATGGGGCCCTGAGTTCAATCCTCAGTACCACCAAAAAAAAAAAGTGTAGTCTTCCAGAGAAATTTAGTAGTTTAGGAAAGTTGCTTCTAAAGAAAATATTATTTTGCTTTGAAGCATGATTATATACACTGCTCAGAGTCAACATCTATTCTTTATTTTGCTTTACTGTAATATGTTCATGGACATATTTTCAGGTGAGGAAGGTTCAATCTATTTTGTGTGTGTGTGTGTATCTTTAGTATTAGCACATATTATGGAGTCAGTTCTTACTTTGCTCTTTAAGGCAGACTAAATCACAACTGCAGTGCATAACGCTTCTGAAAGGAGAAACATGTCCCCTAATTTATAGACATTTTCTATCATTCATCCCCCCAAAAAAGAATGTTGGGGCCCTTTGGGAAAAATACATAACAATGGCAAATCCTTTCACTTCTTTTTGCACCATCCCTTCACTTGGTGTGAATTTCAGAAAGAGGAATAAGCCCTGGAACAATGTAAAGGAAAACTTCTTTCTTGATGTAGATTACAGGAAAAGAAGTCCCCTTTTCATCATCAGCTTCCCAACTACTGAAGATATACACAGTTGTACAGTTTGCTCTGATGCTGGCCTTTTATGAAGAGACCTTTGCAAATACACCTGTAAGTACCATCCATTTTAAATAGAGTTTGAGAGAACTGTCATTTGTTTTAAAAATAAAAATTAGCTGTACTGTATTCTTCCCTATAAGGATCTGCTTTAATTTGGGAACCATCAATCTTGCATTTAACCAGGTAAATTAATTCTCTAGATTTTTAAATGTAAATGATTAAACAAATCCAAAGTTTTGTTGTATAGAATGCCCATCAAATGATACATGATCATTCTAAGTGATGAATAAGAAATTATTCACGATAAATAAATTGCACAATTGCAATAAAAATACTTGAGAAGTTTGAATTAAATATGCTCAGGAAACTATATTTTTCTATCATTTTCACATACCTATCTTTACTAGCAGTTTGAGGAGCGACTTTAGGGAATTTTTGTTATAAGGTTTACATCCTTAATTTTTTTCCTTTCCTACAATATTATGAATACTCAATTTGCCTGATGCAAACATCAAAGTACTAGACTGGAGTTTAATTTGAGCCTTAATATGTTAAAAATCATTTTTGGCTACAAAAGAATACCCATACTACTTATATTTGAGAGATAACAAAAGTAACATAAAGTATTAAAATGCACTTTAAATTGAAAATTTGATAAAACAGAATTTTTATTATTTGTTTAGTTTTATAGTTATATTTATATCCTTCATGAAAGTATTTACAATAGTTCAAAAAGGTAAGTGAAAAACAGTAAGTAATTGAAATAGAAACTAGAATGACAGGAGAGCAAAAAATAACTGGGTTTGTCTTTGTTATGAAGAAAATGAAAAAGAGCAGAACTGGTGAATATGACCAATGTACATTATGTGCATGTATTAAGGTGTCATGATAACCTTCTGAGGAACAATTTAATATGTACCAATAAAAGAAGAAAATATGCATTTTAGGAAATAATCTTACTGAGTCAGGAAAGCTAAAGTTTGCATGATGACTCTGTATGAACATTGGTTACACTTTAAAGAAACAGAAGGGGTTTCTATTTCCAGAAATACGGTGGGTTAGATACAATAATTTCTAAGGTGTCAAGGACATCTCAAGTTGATGGATAAAACACATAGAATGTCTCTTACAATGCAGAACAGGGTAGCAAAAATTGGAGATCACCTAAGAGGCTAAAAATATTGAAAACATGTTAATGCAATAAGGAAACTGAGTGCTTATTCTGACAGCTGACCTCGGCCCTCTGACAATCCCTGTTGGTTGTAATCTTACAGGCAAAGCTAAGAGTCTGTGCAAGTCAAAGAAAAAAATTTCAAATAAAATAACTTAAACTAAAAAGAAATGAAAACATTCCAGGTAAAAGGAAGGCAAAACAAGAAGAAAGCAAAACATTGAAAGGAAGCCTTCTCGTCTTGCACTTGACTTTGCAGAAGTAGAAAAAAAAGTCTTCACTGAGAATTTTTAACAACCTACCTCCCTCACACCCTCACATGGTTATCTAAGCATGGTCCAGATAAAATCTGGATAAGAATAAATTTTAAACCGATCTCAGATTAGATGTCAGGTACATAAAAGAAACATGTTCAGACCATGCCTCCAGAAGGCCATATGTGCAAGCCTCAGATAATTAATTCCCACAGATAATATTACAAAAATTCTAAGCTCAGAGTGAACAATCATAAAACCATCCTAGCAGAAAGCAAATATGACAAAGCATTAGCCAAATCAATAGAGTAGATCCCTCAAAAACAACAAGTATGAGAAATTAATGTAAAGCAAACATCAAGTAAATAAACTTAATCTTTTTGAACAAACAGATAAGGAAAGGAAATTAGGAAATAATAAAATAAAGGAAAAAATAATAATAAAGGAAAGTATGAAATAAAACTATTTCAAACTCCCTTAAGTGGTAGAAATTGATAAATTTTTGCTGAAAACCAGATCTACTCTGGTAATAATTTATTTAATAATAATTTCATTAAATAAACTCTGGAATTATTTAAGTCATTACATACTAATATAGTCATTTACCAATATAGTAAGAGTTTCATATGTTACCCATAATTTATATGTTGAATTATAAAAAAGAAATCAATCTGAAATAGGATAGTGAATGCGGTAAGCTGGACTTTTTGGTTGTGTGTGACAGAAATTCAACCCAGAGTGAATTTATTAATTCACATAACTGAAAAGTTTGGGACTATTGCTTATTCAGTACTGAATCCAGGAGGCCAATTAATGTCATCATCAGGAATCTTTCTGTTTTGCAGTTTTATTTCCCTCAGTGCAAATTCTCCTACAAACTGTCACTCTTCATAGCTACTGGCTGCTGTATCTTTAAATCCTGACATACAAAGAATCCTGGAAGTCACAATATCAAATGTCTTCTGTTTTAAGAACAGAATATCCAAGGAAACACAGCTTCTGTGATTGGTTAGTTCAGCAGTTAAAACCTGTACAGCTTTCGGAAAGACTTTTCTATAGTGATGGCTTTTGTCATCATAAGAAATTGCAGCAGCTCTCAGCATCCTGTGTCACAGACTGTGACTCAAGGAAGCAAGTTGAATTTTTAGAGCATTTCATTAATCACATTTAAAAATGAAGAAAAATATTCTAGACTTCTACCTGGCAAACTTTTTCATGTCTCATTATTCAGGACTAATTCATATGCCCACACTAAACTGATGACAAACACCAGGTCATGAATCAACCATGAGTGAATGATAATCCATGTGTCCTCAGCACAGAGCCCTCACTTTTCTCCTGAGGACCATCTTCCCTTATACCCAATCAAAATCAGCACACTATTGGTACTGAAGAAGTGGGAGATATGTTTTAGTTAAGCAACCAATAGTGTACGCCACAGTGTGTCCAGCTAAATAAAATAGGTTTGCAAGAAGTTATTATAGAGGTTATAATATATTAAAGGAAGCCAGTTTAGTTTCTAATTTTATTTAAAGTCCTTAAGGGTTGGTTTTGAACACATATATTTCTGTGGAGTTTCTTGCATTCAAAGTTAGTAAACAGTATTACTCTATTTTGTGACCTCTGTTTTGAACAACAGATATGTTTGCATGAGTTTTCTGTCTGTAAACAATCAAGGAAAAATAAAGAAAAGATTATAAGGAAACATACAGTAGACTTTATTAGTTGTAGCAGAAAACAATGATTTAGGTTCTATCTTACATTTCTTGAAGTGAAATTAGAAACTAGGAGCCAGGCATAGTGGTGTACATCTGTAATTTCATCCACCAGGGAGACTGTAATCAAAAGGATCACAGTTCAAAGACAGCCCAGGCAAAAATTAAGCACGACCCCCATCTCAACCAAGCCTGGCATGAGGTGGGGAGGCACATCAGTAATCTCAGCTACATGGAAGAAATAGGAAGATGGAGGTCTAAGGCCTGCCCTGGGCAAAATAGAGACCCAACCTGAAAAATAACTAAAGCAAAAGGCTTGGGTTATGGCTTCAAGTGGTAGAATGCATGCCTAGCAAGCACATAGCCTTGAGTTCAAACACAAGTACTACAAGTTCAAAAAGAAGTAGAAACTAGGTTACAATGTGGCAGGAAACATCTTGAAAATATAGTGCTTGACCATATCCTTGTCTCCTTTTCCTTGCATGTGTCACAACTAAGAGTGAAATCAATTCCATTTTGTGCCATGTTTGCCCTTAGCAACCACAAAGAAAAACTCTGAACCCAAAAATTTCTTTCAGGGAGAAAGCTTTCATAACGATAGCATAAGCCACATCAGTCTTAGCCTTGCACATGTTTACATCAAACTACCAAAATGGCCAAACTTCATGTGATTGTTCCGGGTATCCTCAGAGGATGGATCCCACAGATACTAAAATCTCTAGATTCTTAAGTCCATACTGTGATTGGTATGGTGTTTTCACATAATGGTCATGTCTTCCTTCATACTTTACATCATCTCTAGGTGATTACTACTTTGCCATATCACTTAGGAGATAACCCTGAGGAAACATCTGAACACATTTAATACACATGAAATGTTTTTCTGAATGTTTTCTGTCTGAGGATGATTGAATCTGTAGATGCAATATGCACAGTTGTGGAGGGTTCACTCTAACTAGTTTAACCTAAGGCCTCCTAATCAACTCATCAAATATTTCATAATTTACCTATCAGTGGTTGCTTAACACGTTATCTTAATATGTTCACTCAAAATGTGAATACATTGTATATGCATTAGTAGTTCAGAGAAAAGCTAGGTTACTTGCATCAAAACAGCAAATTCTTCTTACATTGACAAGTGTTGAGTCCAGTCTACAATGTTGACTTTTCAGTTGTACTATATAAAATCCATTAATAAATTTTATTCATTCAAAAAATCAAAAATGGAAATTTACCCAGTTTTCATTATGTGAGCCTTCATTTTGGTTTGAAAAATAGAGGCCCTTAATACTAAGTTCACCAAGAGATTTGAATGTCTGGGCATGTGGGAGGGCTTCCTGGATAAAAATGTAGCCAGGCATTATGTATAGTAGGAGATGTGACTTACAGCATAGTTTTCAAAAGATTGTTCTATTGTCATAAAAAACTGTGTGATGGAGAGAGTGAATTCAATTGTGATATATTGAAGTACTTTTGCAAATGTTACAATGTATGCCCAGTACAACAATAATATAACTGTAAAAAAGGAAAAAAATGTATACCATCAAATAATTAAAAGTCTAAAAAAAACTGCATGAGAAGCTCATGTAGATCTATTGACAGAACGGTCAAGTGTTGAAATCCTTTTCAAACTGAAATTAGAGTTGAAGACAGCCTCATTTCTGACACAAATTAATTTTGAAAGGTACATTTGCGTATTTCCCACATGTGTTTTTCTTTGCTTAAAACATGCTGTACAACTAAAAAAAAGGTTGCTTATTTCCAAAATTCTATACTGCCTTTCTAATCTCAGGGATCTAAAAGCATATGAAGACTTTACAATCCAACAGCAATATTTTTTTTCCAGGTTCTCTGTAGCCAATAATCACATAGAAAAGTTGTGGCTGACTTGCAACTGGGGACCCTGCTGTG